GGATTTCAGCTCCCAGGATTCCCCACCAGGCGCGTGCGGATTTCAGCTCCCAGGATTCCCCACCAGGCGCGTGCGGATTTCAGCTCCCAGGATTCCCCACCAGGCGCGTGCGGATTTCAGCTCCCAGAATCCTGCTGTCTGGGATCCCCTTCTCTCAACAGTCCGTGTTTTTCAATCTTGGCAACGTTACGGTGAGTGGACTTCGACTCCCAGAATTCCCTCGAGGGAATTCTGGGAGTTGAAGTCCGCACATCTTAAATGTTGGCAAGATTGAGACAGGCCGACCTCTCTTAGCCGCTAAACACGGCCCCTTGGAGGAATCTCTCGGTCCACTTCCGGCTCCAGCAGAGTTTGGATCCCCCGCCCCGAATCTGCAGCACCTCTCTGGCCCTTTGGGGGTCCAGTGAAGCCCCCCCATCCCGCCCTCCCCCCTCCGCCAGTCAGGTGCAGGGAAACGGCTGCCGGGCGGCTCCCCCTTACCTGTTCTTGATGAAGGAGGGGAAGTAGCGGACGGGCAACCAGAAGCCGTAGGAGATGCAGAGCGTCCAGAGGATGGACAGCTCGTCCAGCAGCTGCCCGGCATAGCTCAGGGTCATGTGGTAGTAGAAGGAGAAGATGCCTGGGGGGAGAAGAGCAGAGTGGGGAGGGACCTTTGGAGGTCTTCTAGTCCAGCCCCCTGCTCAAGGAGGAGATCCTAGACCATTTCAATCAATCAATCAATCAATCAATCAATCAGAATAGAGCTGGAAGGGACCTATGGAGGTCTTCTAGTCCAGCCCCCTGCTCAAGGAGGAGATCCTAGACTATTTCAATCAATCAATCAATCAATCAATCAATCAGAACAGAGCTGGAAGGGACCTTGTAGGTCTTCTAGTCCAGCCCCCTGCTCAAGGAGGAGATCCTAGACTATTTCAATCAATCAATCAATCAATCAATCAATCAATCAATCAATCAGAATAGAGCGGGAAGGGACCTTTGGAGGTCTTCTAGTCCAGCCCCCTGCTCAAGGAGGAGATCCTAGACCATTTCAATCAATCAATCAATCAATCAATCAGAATAGAGCTGGAAGGGACCTTGGAGGTCTTCTAGTCCAGCCCCCTGCTCAAACCATATGGCGTGATCCCATGGGGCACGGCCCTCCCCCCACCAGGAAAGCGTCATCTGGGTGCAAATGACGCCCATCCTGGGCGAAGCCCTTAACGATCGTGTGGGGGGAAAAAAGTCATCAAATCAGATCAATGGCCTGAGGATCTGCTTTATGACCGTCATGACTGACCATCAGGCTCCATGACGGTCCTAAGTGGAGGACTGCCGGCATGTGCTTTCTCCAAGGGGTCCTCGATACAGGCAGTCCTCGACTTACCACCACAATTGACCCCCCAAATTTACATTGTGAAGGGAGACAGTGGAGTTTGGCTCCATTTTACAACCTCTCTTGCCCCAGTTGTTAAGTGAATCACTGCAGTTGTCAAGTTAGCAACACGGTTGTTAAGTGAATCTGGCTTCCCCCGTTTGACTTTGCTGGTCAGAAGGCCGCAAAAGGGGATCACGTGACACCCCCCCTCCCCCCCGGATGCTGCGACAAAATTTCATTTTAACGTTTGTTGATTTAGTGTACATTTAAAGTGATAATAAAGTTTCCATTCTATTCTATTCTATTCTATTCTATCATTATTCTATTCTATATCCTGTCCTATCCTATCTTATCCCATTCCATCCCATTCCATTCTGCATTCTGCATCCTATCCTATTCTATCATATCCTGCATTCTGCATTCTGCATTCTGATCTGTTTTTTCCATTCCATTCTATTCTGTAATAATAATAATAATAATAATAATAATAATAATAATGATGATGATGATGATGATGATGATGATGATGATGATGATGATGATGATGATGATGATAAAAATAAAAATAATAAAAATAATAAAAGTTGGAAGGGACCTTGGAGGTCTTCTAGTCCAACCCCCTGCTCACAACCCCCTATACCTATACATTTCAAAGAAATGGCTGTCCAGTCTCTTCTTAAAAACTTCCAGTGTTGGAGCATTCACCGCTTCTGGAGGCAGGTTGTTCCACTGGTTAATTGTTCTCACTGTCAGGAAGTTTCTCCTTAGTTCTAGGTTGGTTCTCTCTTTGGTTAGTTTCCACCTGTTGCTCCTTGTCCTGCCTTCAGGCACCTTGGAAAATAGCTTGACTCCCTCTTCTTTGGGGCAGCCCCTGAGATATTGGAAGACTGCTATCATGTCCCCCCTCGTCCTTCTCTTTGTTAAACTAGATCCCCAATTCCAGCAACCGTTCCTTATATGCTTTAGCCTCCAGTCCCCTAATCATCTTTGTTGCTCTTCTCTGCACTCTTTTAGAGTCTCAGCATCTTTTTTACATGGCGGTGACCAAAACTGGATGCCGTGTTCCAAGTGTGGCCTTACCAAGGCCTTGTAAAGTGGTATTAATACTTCACGTGATCTTGATTCTCTCCCTCTGTTAATGCAGCCCAGCACTGTGTTGGCCTTTTGGGCAGCTGCAGCACACGGCTGGCTCCTATTTAAGGGATTGTCCACTAGGACTCCGAGATCCCTCTCACAGTTACTACTATTGAGCAAGGTACCCCCTATACCAGTGGTTCTCAACCTGTGGGTTGGGACCCCATTTGGGGTCGATCGACCATTTCATGCAAGCAAGGCTGTCCGCCATTTTTTTTGTCCGCCATTTTTTTCCCCTTTTCCGGCGGGTGCCTTACCTCCCTTGGGCTGGGCCAGCTGGTGGTCGGCCTGCTCCGTCTCTGCCGCTTGCCAGCTACGCCTTGGCCGGCGCAGGGGGCGGAATCACGCATGCGCGGCACTCCCGGGCAGGGAAAGTCCTCGACTTACGACCGGTTGGGTAGTCCTCGACTTACGACCGGTTTAGTCCTCGACTTACGACCGGTTTAGTCCTCGACTTACGACCAGTTTAGTCCTTGACTTACGACCGGTTGGGGTCGCGGCATTAAAAAGGTTGAGAACCACTGTCCTATACTATACCTGTACATTTGGTTTTTCTTGCCTAAATGTAGAACCTTACTTTTTCACCATTGAATTTCATTTTGTTAGAGAGCGCCCAGTGTTCAAGTCTGTCCAGGTCCTCCTGTATCCTAAGCCTGTCTTCTGGAGGGTTGGCTATTCCTGCCAGCTTGGTGTCATCTGCAAATTTGATGAGTTCCCCGTCTATCCCCTCGTCCAGATCGTTGATGAAGATGTTGAAGAGCACTGGGCCCAGAACAGAGCCCTGGGGCACCCCACTGCACACTTCCCTCCATGTAGATGCGGTTCCATTGAGGACCACTCGCTGAGTACGGCTGGTCAGCCAGCTATGGATCCATCTGGTGGTGATGCTGTCTAACCCACATTTTTCTATCTTGTCAAGTAGTAGGTTGTGATGTACTTTATCAAATGCCTTACTGAAGTCCAAGTAAATTATATCCACAGCATTCCTGTGGTCCACTAATTTTGTCACCTGGTCAAAGAATGCAATAAGATTTATCTGGCATGATCTGTTTTTGACAAACCCGTGTTGGCTTTTGGTAATGACTTTGCCTGTAGGTGTTTGCTGATTCATTGCTTGAGTATCTTTTCCAGAATCTTCCCAGGTATTGAGGTCAGGCTGATAGGTTTGTGGTTTCCTGGATCCATTTTTTTTTCCTTTTTTGAAGATGGGAACTACATCAGCTCTTTTCCAGTCCTCTGGTAGTTTCCCAGTGCTCCAGGATCTTTGAAAAATATAGTTCAGTGGTTCTGAGATCACACCTGCCAGTTCCTTGAGAACCTTGGGGTGTAATCCATCTGGTCCTGGCGATTTGAACTCGTCTAGGCTGGACAGGTGGTCACTTACCATTTTCTTGCCTGTTTTAACTAATCTGTTTTTTACAGTGCTGTTTTTGATAGGTTGGATTGTTTTTTCTCTTTGTGCAAATTAATTCTGAATTCTGAATTCTATTCTATTCTGTATTCTATTCTATTAATTCTCAGTTCTGAATTCTATTCTATTCTGTATTCTATTCTATTAATTCTCAGTTCTGAATTCTATTCTATTCTGTATTCTATTCTATTAATTCTCAGTTCTGAATTCTATTCTATTCTGTATTCTATTCTATTAATTCTCAGTTCTGAATTCTATTCTATTCTGTATTCTATTCTGTTTTATTCTATTCTACTCTAAAGCCGTACCTGGACAACCTTGATGCAGACACCATCTCGGGCCACACAAAGAGGGAGGGGTGTAAAGCATCTCCCCACTTTTTCGGAAAGTAAAAATTACAGAGAAGAAGATTCTACAGGTAGTCCTTGGTTTACAACAGATCATTTAGGGGCTGTTCGAAGTTACAACGCCACGGAAAAAAGGGACTTATGACCGTTTCCCCCACTTACGACCGTCGCAGCATCCCCCAGAGTCACTTGATCAAAATTCCGATGCTTGACAACCGACTCATATTTATGACCGTCGCAGTGTCCCAGGGTGTGTGTGTGTGTGTGTGTGTGTGTGTGTGACACGACCCCCTTTTGCGACCTTCTGAGAAGCAAAATCTATGGGGAAACCAGATTCACTTAGCAACCAGGTTACTAATTTAAAAACTTCAGTGATTCACTTAATGGCGACAAGAAAAGGTCATAAAACGGGGCCGAAACTCACCTATCTCACTGGGCAAACGGAAACCTTGGACTCCGCTGTGGCCGTAATCCGGGGACTACCTGTACTAAAAGAGCCTTAAAAATTAATAATAATAATAATAATAATAATAATAATAATAATAGTAATAGTAATAGTAATAGTAATAGTAATAGTAATAGTAATAGTAATAATAATAATAATAATAATAATAATAATAATAATAAATAATAATAATAATAAAGTTGGAAGGGACCTTGGAGGTCATCTAGTCCAACCCCCTGCTCAGGCAGATAGAGCTCGTTCTCCTGTGGGTCGTGGCTTGGCTGGACTACCTAGCAGGGCTGATAATGGGGCCGGGCCTGGCCTTCTGCTCATGCGCAGCCTTCGTGGTCACCTACCAATAAACACCTGCAAGATGACGAAGCCCCGAATCGGCAGGGCGCGATAGGCGATATAATCGGTGTTGAGCCACAACAACAAGGGGGACAAGATGAAAAAGGCCACGTTGCTGATCTGGAGGAGAAAGAAAGGGGAGAGAAAGAGACAGAAAGGATGAGAAAGGTTAAAAACCTGCAAATCTTCGGAGGGGCAACGCTGGTGGCCCCGCCCACTTTGACTCCCCCCCCTCCCTTCCCCAGGGAACTATTGAGCCCACTGGGGCAGACCGAGGGATGTAGACAGAGAGTTCGGATTGCTTCGGTATTATTTGTAATTTTCCTTTTGGGGGGTGGTGGTGTCTATCTATGGCAAGCTTGGCCACTTTGGAGCTTGTGGACTTCAACTCCCAGAATTCCTCAGCCAGCCATGCATGGCTGGCTGAGGAATTCTGGGAGTTGAAGTCCACAAGCTCCAAAGTGGCCACGATTGGAGAGCCCTGGTCCACGACGGTGCTTCCTCAACCTTGCACCCTTGAAGACGGGTGCAACTCCCACAATTCCCCCAGCCAGCGTGGGCGGACTTCAGCTCCCACAATTCTGTTGGCTTGTGTCCTCTTCTCTCAACATCGAGGGCAGAGGTCTTCAAGCTTTCCGGGCTCACGGCTCAGAGGGAAGGAGAGCAGCTTCCAAATTGGTGCACGCGCATGCACGTGCACGCAAACAGGGCCGCACACACCAGCCTGGCACTAGCAACCCCGTTCGCGCATGCACAAATGGGCCACACCCACCCGCCTGGCACTAGCAGCCCCGTTCACGCATACACGAATGGGCCGCACACACCCACCCGGCTGTTGTGATTCCGTGCCAGCCTGTGCTTCCAACAGCTGAGTCGGAGGAATCTGAGGAGGAGGTGGAGGAGGCATTGGAAGGGCCATCAGGGGCAGAGAGAGACTCTGATGAATTGCCGGACTCACGGTTTGATGTAGAGCCTGGGCCCTCCAGTCGTGTTTCTGATGAAGCCCAGCTGTGTGAGGAGCATGAGTCAGATTCGGAAGGCTCACACCTGGACTTGCTAATTGATGCTTGCAGACGTCGTCAATTAGCGAGAGAGAAACAACAGCAGTCAATGCGACAACTCCAAAGTAAAAGGAGAAGGCAATGAGAGGCAACGCCCTGGGACTGCTATATAAAAAGGGGAGGTGTGGGCGGTGCTGGTTGCTGAAGGCAACCGTTTGCAAAGTGCTTCTTGGAATCCTGGTCTGTTCGTCTTGTTTGCAACGTGTTCCCTGTGGATTATTTCATTCCTTTGGACTTGAGTTTGGCTGTTTGTGTTTTGGACTAATTGACAGGTTTGTCACCCAAATAAAAGGGATTTGTTTTGTTTTAAAGTCTCCAGCCTATTGTATCAGCAGGGGTTTGGTCCTTGTGCCTCTAACAAGGACGGCAATAGGCTGGGATAGAACACCGGCGATAGTGGCCCTGTTCGTGTATGCGCAAACGGCCCGCACACCACTCGCCTGGCGCTAGCATCCCCATTCGTGCCCGCAAAGAGGCGCGAACAGGGCCGCGGGCGCTAGCACGAGTGGGGGGAGTGCCGGTGCACACGTGCGCGCACCAGCCAGCCATTTCCACGGTCTGCTGGCCCGCTGGTTGGGGACCTCTGATGGAGGGGTCTCGTTCCATGTTTTTCAAACTTGACAACTTGAAGATGGGTGGACTTCAACTCCCAGAATTCCGGGAGTTGAAGTCCACCCACCTCCAGGTGCCCAAGCTTGAAAAACACAGGTCTGTGGGTCTTGATCGGTTCCTTTTTCTAGGATCCAGAGAGCATTGGATTCCCTTGCTGGTGAGATGCAGGGTGCTGAGCTTTCGCTGATCCTCGAATGCGGATCCTGGAAGTGAATCTGCTTGCTCGGGACGGGTGCCTGCCCTCAAAAAGGATGGCCAAAATGATCCCACCTTGAAGAAACGCCAGCGGTCCCTTGATTTCAGTAACCCCTTTCAAGGGGACCACAGGAAGGGGGTTTGCAGCTTGGAGATTCCTAAGGTTTACATCCCTCCCTCCTCACCTGAGATTTTTAAAAAAAAACCAAAAAAAAAAAAACCCAAGAACATCCGGTTGGAGTGGATGGATGAAGACCATGATGTTTTGCCTGCTGAGTAGAATTCTCAATCAGAATAGAGTTGGAAGGGGCCTTGGAGGTCTTCTAGTCCAACCCCCGTCTCGAGCAGAAGACCCTGTATCAATTCTGACAAGTAGCTGTCCAGTTTCTTCCGAAAAGCGATGGAGCATCCACAACTTCTGGTGGCAAGCTGCTCCACTGGTTAATGGTTGAAACTGTCAGGAAGTTTCTCCTTAGTTCTAGGTTGCTTCTCTCCTTGGTTAGTTTCCATCCGTTGCTTCTCGTCCTGCCTTCGGGTGCTTTGGAGAATAGCTTGACTCCCTCTTTGGGGCAGCCCCTGAGATATTGGAACGCTGCTATCATGTCCCCCCTCATCCTTCTCTTTGTTAAACTAGACATTAATTCCAGGTTGCTTCTCTCCATGGTTAGTTTCCATCCGTTGCTTCTCGTCCTGCCTTCTGGTGCTTTGGTGAACAACGTGACCCCCACCTCTTCTTTGGGACAGCCCCTCAAATACTGGAAGGCTGCTCTCATGTCCCCCCTCGTCCTTCTTTTCTCTAGACTAACCAAACCCAAATCCTTGCAACCGTTCTTCAGATGTTTTAGTCTCCATGCCTTTAATTAATCCTCTTAGTTGCGCTTCTCTGCACTTTTTCCAAAGTCTCAATGTCTGTTCAGTATTATGTTATGATTTGGAGAGCCAGTTTGGCCTCGTGTTCATGGCCCCAGGCCAGAAACAGGGGGTTCAACTCCTGCCTTGGGCACCAAGCCAGCTGGGTCCCCCTGTGCCCTTCACGCCCCCTCCGCTCTAGAATGGAGAAGACACGGGCAAAACACTTCCGAAAAAAAAACTGCCGGGACTTGTCCAGGCAACCCTTGAGAATTGGCGACGATTGGAGGGAAGCCGTTTCCGAGGCACGAGACGCTTTCTGATGATGAATCTGCCAGTAATGGACGACGCCTGGAGGAATCTGTTGTGATTGCTGCAAGGTGGCACGTTCTGCCTTCAGAGGGTGACCCACACCCAGAAGGAATGGCCAGCCTCAAAAGCCTTAACCACAAGAAGTATGAATCCACGCCTCTCTCTCACTTGTCTCCTGAAGTCACGGTGCTCCATCCTGGGACCTTCTCCAGAAAGGATTGGATGCCCTGAGGATGGCTGCTCTGGGAAGGGGGGGGGTCAGACTAGAACAGGGCTCTTCAACCTTTTCACCCATTGTACCACTTTTAGGATATGGCAACATCCGAGTACCACCAGTTGCCCAGCAAGGGGTCAAAAACTTGATGATCCCCCCAAAAAAGGAAAAAAGTGATAAAGTACAGGTAGTCCTCAACTTACAACAGTTCACTTAGTGACTGTTCGAAGTTACAATGGCACTGAAAAAAGTGCCCCCCAAGCCACAGCCGAGCAAGACACCTGCCTGCCCGCCCGGTGGCGCTCTTCCTCCTGTCTGAGATTTTCATTGTTGTGAGCATTTCTGTTGAGGATTGGCAGCGGGGGTGGGGTGGGGGGGGTGTTTGGTTTTTGTCCCCCCCCCCCGTCTGCTGGGTGCTTGCAGCAGGTTTTGGTCACTTCATATGACCCTGGGAGACTGTGACCGTCATAAATATGAATCAGTTGCCAAGCATCTGAATGTAAATCACAAGACCCTGGAGATGCTGCAACATTCCAGCTGATCGGCGCTTCTTCTGGGCTCAGCAGAAGCCCCAGGATCAGCGCCGAGCTCCAGCTGGAGCCTGGCACTGATCCTGATGCTTCCATTGAGCCCTGACAGCCCCGAAGAAGCGCTGGTCCTGGCGCTTCCGCTGAGCCCGGACAGCCCTGCAGCTCCAGCCGTCTCTCGCTCAAGCTTGTGCGGTGCTGCCACCGGTTCAGCTCTTTCCCCTCCCCAGCTACCACTTTTCTAGGATGGTCGTGTACCACCTGCCAGGTGCCAATGTACCACAGGTGGTCCCCGTACCACTGGTTGAAAAGCCCTGGATTAGAAGACCTCCAGGTCCCTCCCGGCCTTGGAGTCTACGATTCACACCCTGGCAGGCTCTCAGTTCTACCCGACACTGATTTGGTAGCATTCCCAGAATCCTTGCCACACATCTGCCCTACTTCGGGTGGCCTATTTCGAAAGCCTGTTCCGATAGCCTGCGTACTCTATAATCCGTGAGGCATTGCATCTTAGTTATAACCTAAGAGATAACATCAGAGTCTTGGGTCAGCTTGTGCCCAAAACCTAGTTACAAACAAAGGAGATAATAATAATAGTAAAGTTGGAAGGGACCTTGGAGGTCATCTAGTCCAACCCCCTGCTCAAGCAGGAGATCCTTTACCATTTCAGACAAGTGACTGTCCGGTCTCATCTTGAAAACCTCGAGTGATGGAGCACCCACATCTTCTGGTGGCAAGCCGTTCCACTGGTTGATTGTTCTATCAGGACATGTCTCCTTATTGGAGAAATTTGGAGATGGGAGAAACCAACCTATCTAGGTTGCTTATTTCCCAACCATTCCTTCTTGTTCTGCCGTCAGGAGTTTTGGAGAATAGGTTGAATCGTTTGCAAGGAAGCGAAACTGCAGAGAATTCTAGCAAATGACTGTAAATTAACGATTAATTTATTCTTCTTTCTTTCCCCTTGCTTTAATTGCCAGGGGTAGGCAACCTCGGCTCTTTTAGGACTGGTGGACTTCAACTCCCAGAATTCCTGAGCCAGCATGGCTCAGCTTGTAAACCTCTCCCTTTCCCCTCAGCAGGGCTGGCTCAGGAATTCTGGGAGTTGAAGTCCACGAGTCCTAAAAGAGCCAAGGTTGCCTACCCCTGGCCTAGGCCTAGGCTGCTTCATGACTTGTGGACTTCAACTCCCAGAATGCCTGAGCCAGCATGGGGAAACTATAGCCCCCTTCATGATTCGTGGACTTCAACTCCCAGAATTCCTCAGCCAGCATGAGGGAACTATGGCCCCCTCATGATTCGTGGACTTCAATTCCCAGAATTCCTCAGCCAGCATGGGGGAACTATGACCCCCTCATGACTCGTGGACTTCAACTCCCAGAATTCCTGAGCCAGCATGGCTCAGCATGGAAACCCCTCCCTTTCCCCTCAGCGTGGCTGGCTCAGGAATTCTGGGAGTTGAAGTCCACGAGTCCTAAAAGAGCCAAGGTGGCCTACCTCTGGTCTAGGGTTTCCAAATAATTCCATGGTCTGCAGACAGATCAAGCCCCTCCCTTTTCCAGCCGGCTTTGCTGATCCCATTGAGGATCAACCTGGGGCAACCGGGAAGCCGAGCTGCGACTTCTCGGTCCAGATCCTGCTCCCACTTGAGTGCTGAGGGCAATTAAAATGGACCCAAACCGCGGTTAAGACTTTTAAGACTTGCTGGCTGGGGAATTCTGGGAGCTGAAGTCCACCACCCGTCTTAAAGTTGTTGGCAAGGAAGGAAAACCCGCTGCATCATCCAATTGGTCCCTTGCTTCAAAGTCAACAGACCTAATGCTGTGTGAAAGTTCAAGATTCTAGACCTTAGGACGAAGCCGCTGGGAGGGGGGGGGTGCGATGTTGTTGACAGCTGGGTGCTGCACAAATGGAGCCATAAACAAGCAAGATAAAATCCTGATTGCTTTGAGGTCATCCCTCGGTGACCTGTGCTGTGGTTGACTGGAGACTCTGTAGCCACAGCCAATCAATTACAGACTATTCCTGGAAGGGACCTCAGAGGTCATCTAGTCCAACCCCCTGCTCAAGGCAGGAGATCTTCTCCCATCCCAATCAAACGGTTGTCCACTCTATTCCTGAAAAATCTCCACTGTATTAGTACCGCTTTATAAAGCCTTAGTAAGGCCACATCTGGAATACCTGCATCCAGTTTTGGTCACCGCGTTACAAAAAAAGATGTTGGGCCTTTGGGGAAAAGTGCAAAGAAGAGCTACTAACATGATCAAAGGCCTGGAGACTAAAACATATGAACAACAACAACAAAACAACAACATAATAATAATAATAATAATAGTAATAGTAATAGTAATAATAATAATAATAATAGAGTTGGGAGGGACCTTGGAGGTCATCGAGTCCAACCCCCTGCTCAGGCAGGAAACCCCATATAGAATATAGAATATAGAATATAGAATATAGAATATAGAGTATAGAGTATAGAATATAGAATATAGAATAGAATAGAATAGAATAGAATAGAATAGAATAGAATAGAATAGAATAGAATAGAATAATGGGAATGGAATAGAATAGAATAGAATAGAATAGAATAGAATAGAATAGAATAGAATAGAATAGAATAATGGGAATGGAATGGAATAGAATAGAGAATAGAGAATAGAGAATAGAGAATAGAGAATAGAGAATAGAGAATAGAGAATAGAGAATAGAGAATAGAGAATAGAATAGTGGGAATGGAATGGAATGGAATAGAATACAGAATACAGAATACAGAATACAGAATACAGAATACAGAATACAGAATACAGAATAGAATAGAATAGAATAGAATAGAATAGAATAGAATAGAATAGAATAATGGGAATGGAATGGAATGGAATAGAATAGAATAGAATAGAATACAGAATACAGAATACAGAATACAGAATACAGAATACAGAATAGAATAGAATAGAATAGAATAATGGGAATGGAATGGAATAGAATACAGAATACAGAATACAGAATACAGAATACAGAATACAGAATAGAATAGAATAGAATAGAATAGAATAGAATAGAATAGAATAGAATAGAATAGAATAGAATAGAATAGAATAATGGGAATGGAATGGAATGGAATAGAATACAGAATACAGAATACAGAATACAGAATACAGAATACAGAATACAGAATACAGAATACAGAATAGAATAGAATAGAATAGAATAGAATAGAATAGAATAGAATAGAATAATGGGAATGGAATGGAATGGAATGGAATAGAATACAGAATACAGAATACAGAATACAGAATACAGAATAGAATAGAATAGAATAGAATAGAATAGAATAGAATAGAATAGAATAGAATAGAAAATATGGAATGGAATGGAATGGAATGGAATGGAATAGAATAGAATAGAATTGAATAGAATAGAATAGAATAGAATAATGGGAATGGAATGGAATGGAATGGAATAGAATACAGAATAGAATAGAATAGAAGGGATCCTTGGAGGTCATCTAGTCAGGAAGTTTCTCCTTAGTTCTAGGTTGCTTCTCTCCTTGATGAGTTTCCACCCGTTGCTTCTTGTCCTGCCTTCAGGCGCTTTGGAGAATAGCTTGACTCCCTCTTCTTTGGGGCAGCCCCTGAGATATTGGAAGGCTGCTATCCTGTCCCCCCTCGTCCTTCTCTTCGTTAAACTAGACAGACCCAATTCCAGCAACCGTTCCTCGTATGTTTCCGCCTCCAGTTGTGGTGACCAAAACTGGATGCGGGATTCCAAGTGAGGCCTTACCAAGGCCTTGTAAAGTGCTATTGGTATGGCTAGTCTTGAGAAAAGAAGGACTGGGGGGGGGGGACATGATAGCAGTCTTCCAGTATTTGAGGGGCTGCCACAAAAAGAAGGGAGGGGGTCAATCTATTTTCCAAAGCACCAGAAGGCAGGAGAAGAAACTAATTAAAGAGAGAAGCGACCTAACACTAAGGAGAAATTTCCTGACAGCTAGAACAATTAACCAGTGGAACGGCTGGCCACCAAAAGTTGTGGATGCTCCAACACTGGAAGTTTTTAAGAAGAGACTGGACAGCCACCTGTCTGAAATGCTCTAGGGTCTCCTGCTTGAGCAGGGGGCTGGACTAGATGACCTCCGAGGCCCCTTCCAGCTCTATTCTGATTCTACAAGTCTACCCGCAGCAGACCGGCTGCCCCAGCGGGGTGGGCAAGGACAGGAAGCGGGGCCTCGTCCTAGCCAAAGGGATCCTCGCCCGTTATCCGGAGAGTTACCGAGTTGTAATATTCAGCAATATATTCGGAGCGCTCAAAGTTGGCTTCACACCAGTCCACTTCGGAGCTGAGATAGGAGAAGATCTGCAACATCCTGAGGCTGCCGACGATGCGCCGTTCAAGGAGAGCGCAAAAGAGGCTGCGGAGGAAAGAGCAAACGAGTGAGGCAAACTCGCCCGTCCAGATTTTCTGCCTCCCGATGCGCCTTTTTATAGTGCCCTGCCCCACGTGGCTCGGCCGCTGAACCCACGGATTCGCCTGCTCTGCCGGATGCATACCAAATTAATTTTATCATTCGATGTCTGATTGAGTGCTATGTCTGACTAATTCTTCGAAGCACTGATTTAATCAGCCTTTGGCAGCATCCCCAGATCTGGTGGCCAGGAGTTCCATAGGGTAATCGTCTCTCTCTCTCTCTCTCTCTCTCTCTCTCTCTCTCTCTCTCTCTCTCTGGGAGAAGGAGGTTTTCCTTCCTCCATCTGGAAAGGCCCTTGCCCTCCAAAAGGCTTCCATTAGACCCCACGAGGGGCCGGTTCCTGTCCGTGAGTCCTGAGCAAGGGGTCCCGCGTGGTCCCGATCCTTTGCCCGTAAACCTTGCAAACTAAATTATTCTCCATTCGGATTTGAACCGTTGGGCTTTTTTTTTTTTTTTAAAGATCTTAACAGTCTATGTTGCAATTTACGGCCCGCTGCTTTGAGTGCCCTTAAGGCAGAAAGGGAAGATTAAAACCTAAACAAAATAAAATAAAATGACTTCCTCAAGTTGCTGGTTTGATTTTACGTACGGTTCGTGTCAATGACCGAATTTAGAGCTTGGCTGTCTAGGTGGACCAACGACTCAAAGGGACTGGCAAACCCCTGGAAATGATACACAACATGCACGACCCACATCTGGATGAAGACATCTGGCTAGAAAGAGGAACATCCATGTGGTAGGTCAGTGATGGCGAACCTTTTAGAGACCGAGTGCCCAAACTGCAACCCAAAACCCACTTATGCATCGTCGGGTGCCGGGTGCGCGTGGCCCATTGGGTGGGTGTGGGCCATTGGGTGGATGTGGGCCATTGGGTGGGCGTGGCTGCGGTGGTAACGGCAGACTGGGTGGGACTAAAAAGTTCAATCAATCAATTCCAACTTTGCAAGATCTTTTTTTTTCCCTGCGAGAAGTTGAAATCGACTGATTGATTGAACCTTTTTTTTTTATACACGGCGGTGGAGGCCTAAAGCGAAAAGGTTTTATAAAACCCAGCTGAAGGCCTAGGACTGGGGCGAGGGCGCGCGTGCCCACAGAGAGGGCTCTGAGTGCCGCCTCTGGCACCCGTGCCATAGGTTCGCCACCACTGTGGTAGGTCAAAAAGTCAAAGGGAAGGGAATAAAGTAGAATAATAGAGTTGGAAGGGACCTTGGAGGTCATCTAGTCCAACCCCCTGCTCAAGCAGGAGACCCTATACCATTTCAGACAAACAGTTGTCCAGTCTCTTCTTAAAAACGTCCAGTGTTGGAGCATTCACAACTTCTGGAGGCAAGGAGTTCCACTGATTATTTGTGCTCACTGTCAGAAAGTTTCTCCTTAGTTTCAGGTTGCTTCTCTCCTTGGTTAATTTTCACCCCTTGTTTCTTGTCCTGCCTTCAGGTGCTTTGGAGAATAGCTTGACTCCCTCTTCTTTGGGGCAGTCCCTGAGATACTGGAAGACTGCTATCATGTCCCCCCTGGTCCTTCTCTTCATTAAACTAGACATACCCAATTCCAGCAGCCGTTCCTTATATGCTTTGGCCTCCAGTCCCCTAATCATCTTTGCTGCTCTTCTCTGCACTCTTTCTAGAGTCTCAGCATCTTTTTTACATCGTGGTGACCAAAACTGGATGCCGTATTCCAAGTGTGGCCGCACTAAGGATTTATGGAGCAGTATTAGTAGTTCACATGAAGGAAAGGGAAGGGAAAGGAAGGGGAGGACAGGAGAGGGGAGGAGAGGAGGGGAGGTGTGGGGAGGGGAGGGGAGGGGAGGAAGCAAGGAAAGGAAATAGATGAAGAACATAAGGGAAGGAAAAAGTAAATAAAAGAAAGGAAAGGAAATATTGAAAGAGGAAAGGAAAGGAAAGGAAACGAAAGGAGAAAAGGGGAAAAGGAAAGAGATGGGAAGAAGGAGGAGGAGGAGGAGGAGGAGGAGGAGGAAGAGGAGGAGGAGGAGGAGGAGGAGGAGGAGGAGAAGGATAGTTAATGATGATGATGATGATGATGATAACGTTGGAAGGGACTTTGGAGGTCATCTAGTCCAACCCCCTGCTCAGGCAGGAAACCCTATACCATTTCGGACAAATGGCTGTCCAGTCTCTTCTCCAGTTAGAATATCTCTTTAGAAATATCTTTATCTTTATTGTCATTGTGTATTCCCCAATGAAATTAAGTGCTGTCCACAGTGCACACTACACCCAAGTAAGCACAAGTAAAAAACAACAACAACAACATACATTATATACACATATTCTTCACATTGCGCTGCCCCTAATAGCACACCTCAATGTTGTACTATACTGTGGTATTTAATATGGTTACAGTTTTGGGATAAAAACTGTTTTTCAGCCTCTTTGTCCTTTGTTTTTATCGTCCTGTACCGTCTGCCAGATGGTAATAGTTAAAAAAAAAAAAAAAAGAACATCCAGGACAAGATGAGTCTTTAAGAATGTTTGAGCTTTCCTAAGACAGCGGGAACTGTACAGTTCGTCCAAGTGGAAGGGGTGAGGGGATGGGGGGAGGAGAGGGCAGCCAATAATCCTCTGGGTGATGGTAATGACCCTCTGGAGCACTGTCCTATCTGCTACTGTGCAGTTGGCAACCTACACATAAATGCAATAGGTTAGAAGGCTCTCTATGGAGCAATGGTAGAAGGTCAGCAGCGGAAGGAAGGGAGGGAGGGAGAGACAGAGAGACAGAAGGTAGGAAGACAGCACACAACCCCAGAGAAGGAGTTTGGAGGGATATTAAACCAGCCACCACCACCACCCCAAGTCTCTCTGCCAGGTCTGTAGAAATGCAGCTTCGATAATCCTTTCAGAAAGACTGGAGCCAGGAAGCTAGAAGCTGATGGGATTAGAAAGACAAAGATCCCTAGAACCAGCAACCTCTCACCCCTCCAACACAGGACAAAGCCATCAGCCACAGCCCCAGGGAAGCAGGACACGACCTTTGGGACACGACAGGATTACCCCCACCACCATCAGAATACCAAAAAGACAGGCTCAAAAGCTCAGGTCAGAATTCACGCCACAGGAATAACTCCAAACACAAAAGCCCAAGAAGGTATAAAAACCCACCGAGGGGGGACATGATAGCAGTGTTCCAGTATCTCAGGGGCTGCCCCAAAGAAGAGGGAGTCAAGCTCTTCTCCAAAGCGCCTGAAGGCAGGACAAGGAGCAACGGATGGAAACTAACCAAAGAGAGAAGCAACCTAGAACTAAGGAAAAACTTCCTAACAGTGAGAATAATTAACCAGTGGAACCACCTGCCTCCAGAAGCTGTGAATGCTCCAACACTGGAAGTTTTTAAGAAGAGACTGGACAGCTATTTGTCTGAAATGGGATAGGGTCTCCTGCCTGAGCAGGGGGTTGGATTAGATGACCTCCAAGGTCCCTTCCAACTTTATCATCATCATCATCATCATCATCATCATCATCATCATCATCATGGGGTCAACTGCTCCAGAGCCACACGTCTTGAGAAAGAGAAGAGAAAGGGTGTGGGAAGTGAGTGCAAACGAAGGAAAGGGTGTCACTTCTGGGGCAACTGGCTAAGCATCACCAAGCAGACCCCTATTCTGAATGGAGGTACCCCTACTCTGATTAATTTCGGCAGACAAGAGTCCTCCCATGCCATTTGCCTGGAAAACCCAAGTGGTTAACCACAAGTTGGAAAGTACCTCCACCTGTTTTGGGGCAGTGTATCCCGCAGGCGGTGTATTCCGCAGGTTGCGAGGGACCCAAGTAAAAAAGGGGAAAAGGGGGGGGGAGGCTTGGAGTCTCATTCCGGACGGTGGGAACAGCAAACTAGGAAATACGCAATCACGTGGTACGTTTAAGATTTGTGCCTTCCTTAATGTAAGTTAACTGAGATTTATAGTGGGAATGATCGCAGTGTGAAAACTGAGTGTTCTGTTTTCCCCTCTTGTACTCTTAGTCTGTGTGTGTGTGTGTGTGTGTGTGTGTGTGTGTGTGTGTGTGTGTGTGTGTGTGTGTGTGTGTGAAGGTCTTTGTGTGTCCTCAAGGTAAATCAGATTGTTCCACTGATTAATTGTTCTAACTGTCAGGAAGTTTCTCCTTAGTTCTAGGTTGCTTCTCTCCTTGATTAGTTTCCACCTGTTGCTTCTTGTCCTGCCTTCAGGCGCTTTGGAGGACAGCTTGACTCCCTCTTCTTTGGGGCAGCCCCTGAGATACTGGAAGACTGCTATCCTGTCCCCCCTCGTCCTTCTCTTCCTTAAACTAGACATACCCAATTCCAGCAACCGTTCCTTATATGTTTTAGCCTCCAGTCCCCTGATCATCTTTGTTGCTCTTCTCTGCACTCTTTCTAGAGTCTCAGCATCTTTTTTACATTGTGGTGACCAAAACTGGATGCAGGATTCCAAGTGTGGCCTTACCAAGGCCTTGTAAAGTGGTATTAATACTTCACGTGATCTTGATTCTCTCCCTCTGTTCATGCAGCCCAGCACTGTGTTGGCCTTTTTGGCAGCTGCAGCACACGGCTGGCTCCTATTTAAGGGATTGTCCACTAGGACTCCAAGATCCCTCTCACAGTTACTACTATTGAGCAAGGTACCCCCTATACTATACCTGTGCATTTGGTTTTTCTTGCCTAAATGTAGAACCTTACTTTTTTCACCATTGAATTTCATTTTGTTAGATAGTGCCCAGTGCTCAAGTCTGTCCAGATCCTCCTGTGTCCTAAGCCTGTCTTCTGGAGTGTTGGCTATTCCTGCCAGCTTGGTGTCATCTGCGAATTTGATGAGTTTCCCATCTATCCCCTCGTCCAGATCATTGATGAAGATGTTGAAGAGCCCTGGGCCCAGAACAGAGCCCTGGGGCACCCCATTACACACTTC